CTGAAATATATATTATTTCAAACCCTAATTGATTATTTTTATTTAGAATATATGATAATATACTAATAATAATTGATATGAATTCTCTGGGTATTGACAAATGAAATTATTGTTTAGGGTGAAAATTGAATTATTGATTATTGAATGATTAATTGAATTATTGAATAATGTATATGATTATTTATATTGGTTAGTTGAATTGAATTTTTGTTTATTGAATAATTTTGTATAATTTTTGACATTTGATTAATTGAATTGTTAGTTTGATTAGTTATTAGTCATATTAGCCTAGTCTGCTCTAGGATTAAAAGTCTTAAGATTTTTTTTCTTCCCATTATACAGTTACGTAATAGAACGATACTATAAGACCCTAGACATAGACGTCGAATGCTTGATTATCCACGTAATTATCGTGAAACAATTTGTAGACACTGTCTCCAAAATAAACCTTGCCAACCTAAATCCCACATCATCCGCATGCCAAGAAAATTTAGCAACAATCTATGTTTTATCACTCGTTGGTTTGCCATTTTTTTTTAAATTTGCACTCTTCTAAGTTCGCCCCTCCCCTCGATAATTCCTAACTTCGCCACTGACCTCATTATCAATACAATCCAATATATATATATCTCTCTCTATAAAAATAATCATGTTATCATTTATATCTATTGATCTCTCATCCGTCGATCTTAAAAAATTTCATGGCCGAAAATGATCTTTCAATGATGGCAGTAACACATAAAAGAATTAATTCTAATGTTACAATTTTTTTTTTCACCAAACAATTGAGTGGGGGTATCCGCTCCTGGCCCTGAGGTGGTTCTGTCCAATGCAACAAACACTTGTATTACTGAATTAATTCAATTACACCTTTACTTTAAATACTTGAATTTTCCTTGCCTCTCTCTGGCTGCAAGTCAACCATTCATATGCATGCAAGTAAACAGATTCGATAAGGGAATGGCCTTGAAGTAAATGAGTAAAAAAGTCAATAGTCAATCATACGTGCTGATTGATTAGCCAGCAAGTAGGCGTTCCAGGTGTACATGCAACATCCGGTATAAGTAGTGGTACGTAGGAAATACATGGCAACTACACATAAAAATGCGAAGGCACTATCCCTGTTAAGAAGACGGAGGAGGTAATGTTACCAGCATGCACGCCTGGATAACTTTTTTGTACCACCCATTTCGACACGAAACGATATGAAAATAACAGTTCATTATCGAGTCACCTGTTAAGAACTAATACGATAACGTTTGTCAGATTTAGACGTTAGGCATGATAATTTCTTGTATGATCTGTTAACCCGACACGGTCCGTTAATGAATTGGATTGTTTTCCAGCCACCTGTTAAAAAACAGTTAAGATAATGAGTTTGACGCGAGATGATCTATTAAAATAAAAAGTATGACACGAACACAACAAATACGATCCGTTTACCATCTTAGTAGTAAATTGGTCGAAATATTCAAACTCACAATTTAATCTTGTGAAAAAAATTACGGTTTAATGAACTTTTGAAAAGTAGTCCAATGGGGGAAGATGATTTGTCTGCCTCTGTATTGTGCCACATGCATTTCTCCTTCTGGAAACACACTAAAGTTTGGAGGAAAATTCTCCCGGTACTCAAACACAAGATATGGACGATGCAACCACCAAGTTATACAATATATTCAGGAAAAAGTCACACCATTGACTGTCAACATAAATCATGATAATTTAGTTTCATTACCTGCATAATTAAATATGATAAATACTCGGGTGCATTTATTTCGTATATCGACAAATTGAAAAAAAATGAGCAATTTTGATTACAATATGTGCACAATAAAAAGGTTGGACAAGGCGGTGCACCCTAGTGTGAGTTTAAGTATTGTTCGATTAATAGATTTTCGGTCCCGACGTACTTAATTTTACATATTAACTCATATTTATAGACACATGATTAGTTGGTCTAGCGACACTTAGTCTCTACTTTATTTGAAGAAGGTCTCAAATTTGACTCATAAGCATGCGACTACGTTACATTATAATAGTAAGGTCGATACTATGTTGTAATATTTTATAGCATGTTGTAAGAGTATACTTGGAAGTTGTAAAAATTAAAAATCCATATTGTTTGTCCCAAAAAAAAAAAATTAACAGATAAAAACATACTTTAAGCTACTGTTGGGCCATAGGCCCATTTACAAAATAATCGGGGCTTAATGTAGAGAGAGTTTCTCAATTTTTGGAGACTCAAATTGCACCAGTCCATCCATGTATGAGGCCGACGTTGACCTATCCAATCTGCTATATAATTTTTTTTGTCAAATAATAAATTTCGTTACATTAACTACCAACAGAGTTCGTACCCATGTCGTCATGCAAGAGCTTAACACCTTTCTTATACTATGATAAAGGGTCACTTGCAATCTGCTATATAATTTCAGTACTCTATATTATTATTGTATATATTTTTTATAGTCATAGGACTGAATACATCACTGACAAATAAAAATAAATATAAATAGATAAGGGAGCTCGAGAGACACAGAAAAAATATATAAATTATTCTTCACTTGTAGGTGAGAGATCTTATATTCGATTATCGCCAGAAGTGAGTTTGAACCACATTATTGCTAGCACATTGTAACGCTAAACACACTCCCTTATTCTTAATGTAGATAATATCGTTAGTTCAAAAAAAAAAAAAAATGAGCTCCTAAGTTAAGAACTTATAAATCGGACCAGATAAAACGAGACTCCATAGGGTTTCATGGGTCATAGCCATGCGTATGACAATCTCTAGCACCACCAAGCAAGTGGTCCACTCCACTGCCACCGTTGGCGTGGTGGTTCAGCCGCACGGAGAGGAGTAGCATTGATTAAAGGTGGCGAAGTCGTGGTCTGGCCTGGTCCCTAATTGCCTATTGGGAAGCACATTGGAAAGTTTTGGCACATGATTTTCAATTATTTAACAATACAAGTCATGTTTGAAATTTCTTCATTGATATTTATGTGGAAATATCGGAAAAATCCAAGAAATATTAGAAAGGGGAGCGAAGTATTCACAAGATATTGGAGAAACTCTTAATTTTTGACTAAAATTAACAGATTTTATCAATATTTTAAACATATCGATTAAATTGACAAATTGACATATGACATTCCCTAAACTGTTATTTTAAATGTCCACATTTTTTAGCAAATTTCCATTGAAGGCAACCGATATCAACATATTTATTGATATTTTCACACAATTGTACATCGATATTTTCACAGATAGTGATATATTAAGCACTGCTTGTATGTAAAAGGTCTTAAATTTGAACCTCAACAAAGATGAACTTAAACCAAATTAATATAATTACTGATTGTGAAATTTAGCTCACTCTCTCACCTATTAATGTAGATAATATCGAATGTATATAAAAAAAAACAATACACAACACTTACGTGTCTCGTAAAGGGATTGGAACGATTTAGACGTGTTTTAATTTTAAAACCAACCATTATTTATTGCATAGTAATATAGATAATCAGTGATTAGTGGTGGCCTTTTTCTAATTAATTCATGTCACTATTAACTTTCAATAATTGGAAGGAATGAATTTGACGAATGTTTTAAACCTTGGCTACTGTGCTTATCCAAGTTGCATCAAATTAATCAATTTGCAACTTGGACTTTTTAATTTGAATTGAATTTTTATTTTTTATTTTTGAAAACTTATTTATGAGCATTGAAAACTTTCCAAATCAAACGAAAATAAATAAGAGGAGAGATTGCATCAAATGAAAGTTATGCTCCCTTTGAGTACTAGCATGACAAGTGGCTTGAAAAGCTGAAGCCCAAATTCACAATATTGGAGAAAAGACGAACCAAACACAGTACTTCGAATGTAAAGGTAAACTCTCTATACTAACTAGAAGAGTCTTGCACTTTGTCCACTTTTCAAAGAAGTAACAGATCGAGAAACGTATTGCCTAGCACATATACTTCTATTATCGATACATAGTTATATGAGACGACGTATTAATTGAAAACATTACAGATATGAACGTTCGTATACGCAAAAACAGAAAAAGACGCATCTGATTTTGTATGTTGAAAACTTTTTATCTTATGGTCAAGATTTCATCACCCATTACATAATTGAGAGGATTTTCCAACTTTCCCAGAAACGTCATAGCACACTCTAGCCAAACCAAGTAGGAAGAAACAACCTTGTTAGCACAACCCCACCCCCACCAAGGAGGACAGTTTTGACGTTCCAATTTCGACAAGTACTTTCTGTTTTTCCGGTGGAAAAGTTTGTACTTGGTACTCAACCATTAAACTGCGCACAAGTAAATAATTGTACTGTTACTGACATGTCAATGTGATTGTGGAAGTTTTCGGAGCAGCTGGTGACCTCGCTACGACAGTTTACTTTTTTGGCAGCGGTTTGGATGACTTACAGAGACATTGCAGCCTAACCAATATCAAGAATCGAATACAAAACTTGCTATGTGGAATACGAGTTTAAAATCATCCTCCTAACCCAGTGGTGGTTAAGGTGTTGTAGAAGTTGGCATGTTGGCTTAGTATCTTCTTCCTATTACACGATTGTTATAAGAGTTTTTATCTTTCGCATGATCTCACTATACTGAACGCATCGGTTTATATCTTTTGTCCTTTCTAGCAATGTCTTGGAGCATACGTGGTTAACCAATTGAAGGCTAGAAACCAAAAGTATTAAGCTGTAAACAATAGTTTTACAGTTAGATTTTAGTTGCGTCAAATACATATATTCACATAATTATAGTTGATCGTCGATAATAACTATATTAAATACATATAAATATCGTACACCATCTCACATTGCTAAACGTCTCGATTTGAGCTTAGGCCAGCCCGAAAGATGAATACGGCATGAGTGAGACAAGGTGACGGCGTCTGGTTGTTAACATCGGGCACATGGCGCAGGTTAGGCAATCATAAATTCCCATGCTTTCATTTAAAATATTTCCACAAATTTGGACAAGATATATAAATCCCAAGAATTTTTTCGGAAAATCATCCCCTCAAAATTAGCATAATAAAAAGGAAAGGGAAAAAGAACTTTGATTTGTATGTAAATTGTGATCCCCAGATTCCTTCATACAAGAAAACTAGATTTCATAAAAGCCTAGATTTGTGCTATAAAGTATAAACCCTACAAACCGAATGCACCAATCCCTAATTTTCCACCCATTGACAGAGTTCAAATTTCATTGATTTCAGTGATTGGAGCAAAATTTTGTTCGTTTTCTGCAAAACTCGATTCCCAGAAGCATTTTTGTTCTTGCTCGTCATTTCCCAACTTTGAATTTTGGTTTTTGGATTCGACAATAAAAAAGGAGAGTTTTTGGAAACGCTGAGTTCTGAGTGTTGTTTCAGTGCAATTGGGCAGCAGGGGAGCTTGCGATTCAGTGAAATTTGGGAGTGAAACTTGATTCTGGGGGCCGATTTGGTGAGTTGGGTCGTTGAAGTTTTGGGTTTCTGATCGAGAAAAAAATCTGGGTTTTTGGGAGATTTTTGAATGATTGGGCTGGGATTGGGAGGAGGAGGGAGATGAGAGGGGCACATGAAGGTTTGGATCAACAATGACTGGAGGGTCATTGGGGATTCGATCAGGGAGTTATGGTTCTTTGGATAAACAGCTACACAACAACATCAACAGCATCAACGGAGTGTTGCCAATCCAATCTGCGCGTAAGCCTTCGAAAATGCTCAAGGAGAAGGAGAGGTTGTTCCACTGGATCTGCAAGTTTGCCGGCCGGAAGAAGGTTGGAATGCTGCTGCTCTGCCTCATCTCCGCAGCGGTTTTTGTCTGGGTTTTGTACGTTGGAAAAGGTTCGGCATTCGTTTTCCTGTGCATGTTTGATTTTTTTATAAGTTAATTTGGTTCTGTTTTAGTTGTATCTGTTGATGAGGGTATTGGGTTGTTTGAGTTGATCCTAGTTGATTTGGATATAATTATTCTTCTGTGTTAGTTGATTGAGTTCGAATTTGAAGCTGGGGAAGTGAATTGGGTCGAATGCTAGTTATCAACTGAGAGCAAAAGATTAGTCTTAGCAAATTGATTAAGCTAACCTTAAAGTCGAGCACTGCATTTCGCACAGCTTTTGTAAATTATGCTGGGAAAATCACTATATTACCATTATTTTCAAGAGATACTTCTAGTATGACAGTGTGGAATGAATTTTTATCTGCATTAATATTGGCTTCCTTATCTGGTAGTATAAAAATCTTCTTTTAGTCGAAATTCCTCATACTAAGTTCATTTCTTAGACTAAAAGATGTTTCCTTGTGTAAGTAATATACGCTTATCTGCTCATATATAGGTGAAGACGGACAAGATGTTGTCAGTGTCGGAAACATTAGTGTTAACAACAGCATCACTTTAAGTTTTTCTGAATCCTCGCGAAAACATGGACCTGAAAGTAACAACATGACTTTTTCGCTGGCGTTGCCTCCTCCTCCTCCTGCTGTTTTTCTGGGTTACACTCTTCCTCCTGGACATCCATGTAATACATTCACTTTGCCTCCCCCACCAGCAGATAAAAAAAGAACTGGACCACGACGTAAGTTTCTACATTTTCTTTGTTTTTGGTTATGCTAGATTTTCCTCTTCTCTGGAAAAAACTATTTTTCCGTTACTTAAACTTAAAGATGGCAGGAATATTTGGCACTGAGATAGGTTAACAACTCATGTGATGTTGCTGAGTTTTATTCCTTCTTTACTTTTCAGCTTGTCCAGTATGTTACCTTCCTGTGGAAGAAGCCATAGCCTTGATGCCCAAGGTCCCTTCATATTCTCCAGTTCTGAAGAATTTAACATACATTTATGAAGAAAATTTATCTAGAAAAACAGAATTTGGAGGCTCAGAGTTTGGTGGATACCCTACATTGAAGCAAAGGAGTGATTCATATGATATAAGAGAGTCAATGAGTGTGCATTGTGGGTATGTGTTTCTTCCTTTTTGCTTTACCTTGGTCAAGTTTTCTGTTTTTATTTTTCAGACCTGACTTTTGTTTTTTGAATTAGTTAGTCTTATAGTAATGAGCTTCCATTGGCCCTTCACTCATTTAAGTATACTGTGCATTTTGCTTGACGGATTTGAGCATCAATCAGATTTGTTAGAGGAAGTAAACCTGGCCGGAATACTGGATATGATCTGGATGAGATTGACCTAAATGATATGGAGCAGTGTAATGGTGTGGTTGTTGCATCGGCTATATTTGGTAATATGCAGTATAATGTTAATTCAACTTTCTGTTAGATATATTGGTGGATTCCTTATCAATTGAATTTGTTTTCATCAGGAAATTTTGATGAGATAAACCAGCCAAGGAACATTAGTGATTATTCCAAGGAGACCGTTTGCTTCTACATGTTTATAGATGATGTGACAGAAGCTTACTTGAGAACATCTGGGAAAATGGGCGGCGATAGGAAAGTTGGTATATGGAGAACTGTGGTTGTGCATAACCCTCCTTACACGGATGGAAGGCGCACTGGGAAGGTAAGATTTCTAATTTTTTGTGAGCAAATTTTATCGACTCTAGAGTAGAGTTGTCTTGGGAATAGTTGCCTGAATTGGCTCTTTGGTTATGAATTATCTGTAGACAGGTGTTTATCATGTTGTGCAAGATTTAGATCTTAAGTGGACATTAAAATTATTTGGGAACATGTAAGATATCATTCAGCTTCTCTAAAAGGAAAAAATGAGTATAGTGTGAATGGTTGTGTTTCCGTGCATTTAAATGTGTCAATAAGATAATGGGGCTTTCTTTGCAGAATGCTGTGTTTTATGTACATTTTTAGTACCTTGACATAACTTTGACACAGATTACATCTTTTGCAGATTCCTAAGCTTTTAGTGCATAGGATGTTTCCTAATGCCCGTTTTTCCTTATGGATTGATGGGAAACTTGAACTTGTCGTGGATCCGTATCAAATTCTTGAAAGGTATATCTGATTGAAAGTTTCACAAATATCTAGCCATCTTAATTTATTTATAGGTTATTTTTTTCAAAAAATAAAATAAAATTACAGCTTAGTCTTTCACTTTCTATCATGATAAATAGGTCTTCGTAATTTTTGTTTTTCGAAAATTACCCTGAGTATGGAATATCATCAGTGTCTTGTTCAACATTTTGGCAAGTCTGCTTCGAAGAAACATCCAAATGTCCAGATGCAAAATACCACCATCATAGTAATGTTGTCAAACAAGTTCATTTGTAATATGATATCTTTTGTTCAATTTCCTGGTTACATCTTTCAGATGCAATTTTGCTGCTTACAACCACGTCTAACTGTGGCACATTGATATATTATCATATGCTTTGCTTAACTTACAAAATCGCTTTCCAGTTAGTGCTTTGAGTCCTGAAAGCTTCTTTCCCCTATTTGACTGTCCTTTACGTTTGCCCCACCATTCACATTTGTGCGAATAAAATCAAAATGATCCTCCAGTACGGATGAAACCCCCCCCTCAAACACGACAAGATATTTGAGTCTTACTAAACTTATGTTAGATCCTGTCCATTTATGTACTCCTATCATTTGGATACGAAACATCAGATTGAAAAGCAATTATGTTCCCAGTTCACGGAAGGGGCTTTGCTCTTTTACGCCAAGCCTTATTCAGCCTGGTTTTACAAGCATTCATGCTGATACATCCTTTAAATTTAACCTATATTTCAGGTTCTTGTGGAGAAAGAATGCAACTTTTGCGATTTCTAGACATTATAAACGCTTTGACGTGTTTACTGAAGCTGAGGCAAATAAAGCTGCTGGAAAATACGACAATGCCTCTATTGACTTTCAGGTTGAATTTTACAAAAAGGAAGGTTTGACCCCATATTCTGAGGAAAAGCTTCCCATTACAAGTGGTAGGTGGACCTTTCACTCTGTTAAAACATTTCGTGTTTGTTTCGCTTTACCAAGTTTCCTTGTTTTGGTCTTGCTGCAGACGTTCCTGAAGGATGTGTTATAATAAGGGAGCATGTCCCTATCAGCAACCTTGCCGCTTGTCTTTGGTTCCATGAAGTTGATCGTTTTACTTCCAGGGATCAGATTAGTTTTTCCACAGTGAGAGACCACATTCGCGAAAAGACAAACTGGACTATCAATATGTTCTACGACTGTGAAAGACGCAATTTTGTTGTTCAGGTATGCATGTATATGTTTTGGAAGTACGGGTTTTTTTCCCTTTGGGAGGGATGTATGGGGGTTTCTGGGTGCTATTGCATTTCGATTCTCTCTTTCTCATGTTCCTCGATGCATTTTGTGTGTGTTTTTCACTGTCTACAGAAATATCATAGAGATGTATTGGAGCACATGGCTCCTCCTCTTCCTAAGGCTGTTCCTCCACCACCGCTATTACCACCACCACCACCGTCACCCCCAGCTTTAAGTAACGAACCACCAGTTAAACCATCAACCGAAACTTCACCCGAGAGCATTGTAAAAGCCCCAGGTAAGAGGCCTCCAAGGCGTGGGAGAGATAGAAGGTCGGGCTCTAGACGTCACCGCAAAATCGTGGCCGGTGCTAGAGACATCGATTCAAGTTAAAAGTTTTGTTCAAGAAAGTTACATCATTCTTTAGACCTCCCCCTTCCGAAACTTGTTCACGGCGGTGGGGGCGGCGGTTACGGAGGATTTGTGCAAGATGAGAGTGTCCTAGCTCTGCTTCAACATGGAGCGGCTTTCTCCTCATTCTTTCTACCTTTTGGAATATTGTCTCAGTTTTTTTACTCAATTTTTTGTTGTATATATAGAAGTATAATTTTTCCAAATAAATTATGAAAAATATGGCTTGCTACCAAAATACCCCCTCATGTGCAATGGCCCATTTTGTCCTTTAATTACCATTGTACCCCCACCCAAAATTATATACTAGTAGATGTCTCTTAATTTGAAAAATCAATATTTTTTTTTTGTCTTTAATTCTTAATCTGAAAAGGTCAAGATAAACAACATTTGTGTTTTTCTACTGTCAATCAAACACGTGGACACCAGTTAGTAAGTTAAGACGACGCATATTATGTTCGTGAGCTCATCGTACAATTTTATATTTGAAAATTTATTTCAATTTTTTTGGTGGGGGTTTGGTTTCGAACAGCCCAAAAACACTATCTGAGAAGTACAAACCAGACGATTTTTAGAAATTCCTAAAATATCAGTAGACAAAAAATCACCAATCCAAATAGGTGGTTCTTCGAGAAAACAAAAGCCCATATCAAATTATCAATGTTGTAGCTCCAATTGGTATGTAACAAAATTCTTCTCTGTAAATATGCTTGAGCTGAGAGTATTTGAATTGGTTCAAAATCTCATGATAAATACGTAAAAGAGAAGAAAGAGGATGAAAATTATCGACCTCTACATAGCCAGCAATAGAATGAACTGAAGGATCATTCTTTCTTTTAGGTCATCACAGGACGATTCTTCAAAAATATCTTCTGATCCGTTTTTACCTCTCATACGTTCCTCTCAAAATGAACGTAAGGATACACCACCCTATCTTCAAACCCAAAGGTGTTGTTTATTTGTTATTTGGTCCGTCAGTAGACAAGATGCTCTTAAGGCTGGTTTGGTATTGCTGTGCTTTGAAAAAAAGCTGCTGTGAGAATAAGCGGCTGTGCTGTGAGAATAAACGGCTGTGAAATAAATCAGCAGAGTGTTTGGTAAACTTTTTTGTAAAAATGCTTTTGGAAAAAAAAAAGCAGTCTAATAGTGGGTCTTTTCATTAAAGAAGCACTGTAGCTCCGTGTGCTTTGAAAAAAAGCCAGTTTTTCAAAGCTACAAATAGCAGCTTCAGCTTTTTCCTTTGATTTCAGCTTATTCTCACAGCAGCTTCCAAAATAAGCCTTTTTTTTTTCAGTTTACCAAACACCTAAAACCCTCACAGCTTTTTTTCATGGGTGCTTTTTTTTTAAGCACCTCACTTCCAAACTAGGTCTTAATCTTTATATCAACCGATTTGAAACAGTAGGTCCCAGTTGGAATCTGTCGGTACCACTAGGATCTCGCCACGTTTCCATCCCAAGACAAAATGGACCCCATCCGGGTCCCACTGGATCCTTATCCTTGCTGCACTCGCTCATCACCGTATCAACAACAAAACCAAGAACACATTTTTCACTTTTATCTCCTGAATTAAAAATTAAACCAAAAAGAAAATAAATTTGAAAAAACGTTATCAATTAATTATTTTTCTCCTTCACCTTCTTCCCAATTTCTCAGAAACCAAAGGGTTGATCAATGTCATCGCCGGCGCCGACACCTCGATAACTCGATCCCAGCCGTCCGATTGATCGATGTCATCGCCGGCGCCGTCGTCGGCCTTCTTCGTCATCTGCCTCCTCCACTCCCTAATCGCCATATCCTGCGGAGCCCTCATGATGTTCTACATGACGGAGGTCTACACCTTCGGGCACGGGACCGAGACCGCCCAGAAGCTGATGGGGTCCACCCCCCACGACCAGCTCCTGATTCGGACCTGCGACTCCTTCTCCGGCCTCCTCCTCTTCGCGATCGGCTTCCTGCTGCTCATGGTCTCCTTCGTGAAGGATCGCGAGTTCCAGACCTTCTTCGCCAAGGGGTGCACGGTGCTTCACGTTTTCATGGCTCTGTGGCGGTGCTACTTCGAGCGGCGGGTGGAGGACCTCGCCTGGGACTGGCTGAGGCAGACGGTCGGCGACGTCTTGCTGGCTGCGTCTTGGGTTTTCTTCCTTGTTTTCTCCTGGAGAGAAAAGTACGACTAAGCCCCTCTTCTTCCTCGTTATTTACGGCTTCTTTTTTTGTTATATGTTGTTAATTTGCTTTTTGGTTCGGTCACATGTTAGTGGAATATTGGTCATCTTTGTTGTAAATATTTACCTTTGTGGATAATGAAAGTTGAAACACATCATCCTTTGGTGGTCATTTTTGTTCATATGCCATGCAATTTATGTTTATTCGAGCGATATTCTAATCTAAACGAAGCTGAAACTGCGGGAGGAAAATCCGGACTCGTGTGTAGTTGGGCGAGTACGTTGCTCTAGCTAACTTGGCTATGCCCAGGTGTGTCGTTTTTGTTTATATTAAAGCATATGACTTGGTGACTGATAAAACATTGCCTTGAAGGCTTGAACTTATCAGCTGATGCTCATAAGTGTGTGTATCTTGAATCTTGACGGCAGTTAAAATGTGTTGAAATCGGAATTTGGATTTACAGGAATTTAAAGGGGTTTTAAGTGGTGGAGTTTTTCGTCTCTGGCCGGTATCTGTAGCCGTGATTGTATCTGCATAATCCTGATGCATTATGGTTTTTGTTGGAATTGTGCTATTTGGGATTGCAAATCTGCTTCTTCTCATGAACTGGAGTACTGAACTGCTAGAAATCTAGTTGAGAAATTACTGTTTGTTTCATTAACCTCAGATTGATATACTATTCGGCACTCCTCTGCCCGTAATCCCTGGTTCTGAGCTTGGCATGAGCAGCTGGTATGGTGACACTCCAGCCCCACATCTGTTCCGAAGGTTTAAGTCGGCATTTCTTTGTTCAATCTCTTTCTCAATGCACTTCATCTCCATTGAAAATCTGTAGAATGCCTCGGTGATCACCGTGTCAGCTGACCAGGTTGACAAGTCTTTTCTCCCCCCGATATATACCTCATCCGGTGAGTGCGTTGAAAGGATATCTATTACAGCCATGTACTTCGTTGCTTCAAATAAACCTGGCAGGGATGATAGAAAGTATTTCTGTGGATCTCTTATGAAAGCAACATACTCGGGATCATGCTCCTGCGGCAATAGTCTCCGCATGTGTGGTGGGCGGTTCGGGACATACCCACCATATGGATATTGCCCGTAGTTCAGTGCTGCGTGCTGTGCTGATGAGACCCAAATGATGGTGGTGAGTATGGAGATAAGATCATCTGGAGTTGAGAGTTTCGGCCACCAGCTAGCATGGTGAAGATCGCCATGGCCTACATTGATTGACTCGTTGTACCATGCCTGGAGTTCTGTATCACAATGAACCACACTTGCATCAGGATAGTAGTAATCGACATAGGTCCGAACCAATGTCTCCATTGCCGACCATATGAGGAGTCCATCCGTTGCATAAGGGTAATCTTCGACCAGTAGACGTATCCCGTGGACTTGGGTAGAGTCCGGTATTGCCATTCCTCTATGCAGAAATGATGATGAAGTTAGTAAGCTGCGCACTGCTGGAGATGAAGAATTTACAGTTCAGTGATGATAGATATATAAATTGAGAGAACTTCAACCAAACCTTCTGATCAGATCTGCAGGAAGGCCCTGAAGGTCAAAGCGCCACCAATCTCGATAAGCAGCACAACTAATCTCCATGCTGTATCTACCGGCACTGAAATCAGACTCGATTATCCCTCCAGCGTTGATGAGAAACTGACGGGCCATTGCATTTATCTTCAAGGTGTACCGCATGTGAGGACTGAGAAGCTTGTAAATTGGATGCATCACACTCAGCTGCCGGTGGGCTGCTATTATGAATGGCTCCATGCAGGCGTGAGTGCGTAACCTGGTTCAGTCATCAAGTTTCAGGTTGTGGCATGTTTGCATATTATAAAAAATTAAGGTAATCGGTGTGCATACCAGTGGTGAACCAGTTGATGAACGCAGGCGTCGTTGGAGCATACATGGACTTTACCGAGCTGCCAAAGCCAATTTGTTGTAGCATCAACTGGAGGAGTGAGAACCTGCTTAGATGGTGAAACTGAGTTGGTTGCAGAAGAGCTGAGTTCTATAGCAATAGGCTTTAACGTTCCCATTGACGTCAAGAACAAAATTGTACGCGTTCCATAAGCTTTTCGATCATTGAAAGCGTTTATTTGGTCCAGAAATGGAAGGAAAATGTCATGATAGTCTAGTACGAACAGTTTGTTTTCTTCTAATGCCTGCAACACAACCATTTATGCACTTTAGTGAACCTTTCATGTGTTTTACGTATGAAGTAATCCATGTCTTTCAACTATTTTTTCCTTCGTCGTCGTACCTGTTGTACGGACATGCCGTCGAGATGGCCTGTTATATGTTCCTCCTTGAGTGCCGATTCTTGTGAACCATAAATGGAGGGGTTCAATTTGCTTACAGGTGGGAAAACCGTGAGCCTTTCGATGCTCAGAGGGTTTATGCCGGCAATTGCTTGACGTCCGAATTCGTCGTCTTCCAACCCGGAAGATATTGCCCCTGAAATTGGAGTGAGATTTTAGAAACATTCATGGCTTCATGATCATGTTCACTCAAATAATATGATGCTTACGACATGACAATTTTGGACGTTCAAATCTGAGGAATTCTTGAACTTTGTTCAAAGGCTCTGGTGAAGACGTGTCTTTAAACAAACCAATTTCGTCTGAGGACCACTTGAAAACTTTGTTGTCGCCGGAAATGGTTGTAAGGGTAGGAATTATATGCCGGAGAATTCCCTTCAACTTTCCTAGCTCGAGAGCTTGCATCTTGGACTCTTCAAACTCTTCGTCTCTCGGCACGTAAAATGCCGTCGATTCGTTTATCGACGACTCTATTTTCTCATCTGTTGCATAGACATGTATGTCAAAAATAATCGTATAATGTTGAATACCCTTTTTTGGCCCAAAACAATTGAATTACCCTTTTATTGTTTCGCTAGGGAAATCAGTCACATTGTCGATATTTTGTTTTGATACTCTATCATGTAGGTCGATAGTTGGTAATCACGATAAAATATTGACAATGTGCCATATACGTGCATTGGTATCTGGTACCAGTCAATCACTCTCCTTACCTGTACTGGTTGGAGGGCGTCCGGTTCGACAACGTCTAGGATACGGATTCTTGTGGCCTCCAAGAATTGGTCGGGAGAATTCAACTCCCTCATCTGGATTTCCGATGTCATTGTAGGTGTCATAGTCGTATATTCTATCAAATGGCGTTCTAAGTCCTTTCCCATCACCCCTCAGCTGCTCTAGCTCCATCTCTCTCGGCTCTTTTAGCCCTGCTGGTGTCTCACTTGGTAGGTAAGCCTGCAAAATTACATTTACATATATCATACAAAGTCACATAAATTTTTTAGCCTTGAGTTATACATAAATTTTTTGTGCATAACATCTGCTCTTTAAACAGACACATAATGTATTGATACTAGATAGCATGTTGGCTACAATGATATTGACACATTACCAGTGACATAGATTAACATAAAGAACGGGTGTAAGTCGGACTAATGAGTATATGATCTATATAAATATAATATATATCTTGGTATTGTAATATGTGTGTGTGTGTGTGTGTGTGTGTGTGTGTGTGTGTGTATGTACCTTAGTAGAGAAGAAGATTCTTTTTGAGGACCCATCAGCTTGTTGAACCCAAGAGTTGCAGGCAATATGCACAACACCTTCTATGTTGACGCTATCCAAATAAATCTCCTCCTCAAATCTGTTACTCACTGTGATGGCTCCTGGCATCCCAAATTTTGAATCCACCATAAATTTAACTTGATAAGTGCTTTTCTGATCAGCACTTCCCAGTTTTAGATCCTTGGACCAATCTAGTACAGCTTCGTAGCTCAGTTTTGGCTTCGTTGATTCTTTGTTTGAAACAAGTTGTACGGGGAAAAGCCAAAATGAGGTTTCAACAAAAACAAACACATAAGAGAAAGAAAAGAAAATCCAAAATCCGCATACCAACAGATGCAATAGTACTTAATAATTTGTTAAATTGTGTTTGATTTCATATATCATCTTAAATAGTAATGCGTACGTTTGTTCTTAATTTAACCACTTGTATTCATTCAGGTGTGAGGCTTTATTTCATAAGACGTATAAAACTAGTGAGGCTCACACATGAGATCAAGTAATAAGCTTTCTTTACCTGGTTCAGTTTCAGTACTGACAAGCTGTAAAACAACACCCCGGTTGGAATGGTCATGGTTGCCGCCAAACCAGTGACGTATCATGTGTTGGATATTTGACTTCAGAGGTCTCCTTACAGTCACCAGCGCAGAGAGCTCCAAAGCCATCACAGGCTTTTCTGCTTCATCAGCAACAACAGATGAGGAGGACATTGACATTGTTACCATTTTATTGTCCCCTTGCCGAGCAACACCACGACGAACAGCAAATCGGGCTGCGCCAGCATCCTCCGTTTTGATTGTCTTCCTTTCTTGGAATCTCATTCTCTTTGTTGAAGGAAAGAGATTAATGGCAGAATAAGTATAATCCAGTGGACTTGAAATATTGTGAACATTGGGATTAAACATGCCCATGGTAATTGACATAACTATATATATAAAGTTGGCCTGGTATATATAAGGGTTTTGATTTTTAGGATTTCAAATATTTTCAGTTACTATAAATTTTGATCAGCCTACCACATCCAATAAGCTTGGAAGTTATGTTGGAGAACATGATCGCATATTGTGTTCTCCTTAATTTGCCAAATTACATAGCACTATACATTGAGAATGGAGATGTTTAAGTTGGATCAATTTTCTCTTTGTTTAAGCAAAAAATGATAAGAGAGATTAGAGATGCGGGAAACAAAATATGATGAAAAATAGACATTTATGTACGATTGGTCTAGGCACTAGTCTTCTCATGTGTGGTCGGTGAGTTGGGACATAACTAACCACCGTATGCGGCCAAAGTTTAGGGCAGCATATTCGGCGGATGTGATCCAAATTTAAAGGGACACCTCATACTTAGATATTTTCTGTTTGTTGTGACAGTTGTAAATTTGGTTACAACTGTTTTGTAACTAATCACTATGTTAGTGGTTAATCTAATGTTATTAGTCACTAAGCTTATTTAGCAAAGTGTATATAAACTTAATTGTAATTACTTCCTTACTAAGAAATGAAATACATAAAGCATTCTTTCTATCTTGGTATCACTCGCCTCTCTGCTTAACCGCCTTTTGATCTTCCTTTCTCTGCGATTCGATCTTCAAGTTCTTTCTCTCGATCTCCAATTTCTTCTTCTTCTCAGCAATGGCATCGTCAACTTCTTCGCCTATGCATCTTGAAATTGTTCCTCTGAATCCTACACCGATTGAGTTCGTCGCCCCCAATTTCTTTGCGATGAACCTTAATTCTTCCAGTTCGTTGATCTCATCGATCACAATCCAGAATATTAGTTGTGTGGTGCCTATGAAGCTATAGCGTGACAATTACTTAGTCTGGAAGGCTCTCTTTGCTTTGATTTCCAGGTGCTACAAGCTCGCTGGCATCGTTGGTGGTTCCGAGTTCTGTCCATCGCCTTATCTTCTTGATCAAACCGGTCGCACTACTGGAATTCCTAACCCTGCCTATGAAGCTTGGTATAAGAAGGATCAGAATTTTCTTATTTGGCTTAACTCTACTCTCTCTTTGAAGAAATCATTCCGTTTACTGTTGGTGTGACTTCATCTCGTGATCTTTGGCTTAATCTTGAAAATTGATTTGGAGATGTATTTGCTGCTCATATTCATCAACTCCGATCTCGTCTGCATTCTTTACACAAAGGTGACCTTTAGATTTCTGAGTATCTGCAACGCATCAAAGGTATTCTGATGCTTTAATGGCGGCTGGTTATCCGGTTTCTGATCATGACCTTATTGCTGTCATTCTTAATGGTTTATTTGATGAATATGAATCTTTTATTGACTCTATTATGCTGAGAATTTCATCAACCACTCTGGATGAACTGCATGGTTTATTAATCAACAAGGAATTGTTCATGAATCGCAAAACGAAAGGTGTTGTCTCTTCCTCTCAAGAACCTTTATAGGCCTTTGCTGCTCAATCTCAGGGTCTTCTCCTTCCTACACCACAATACTATTCCTTTCCACAAGCTTATGCTGCTCAATTTCACACTCCTCCCAGATTTCAGAACAATTGTGGCAAATGATTATTTTAGCGCAATAATCGTGAGATTGAGCAGCAAAGGCCTGTAAAGGTTCTTGAGAGGAAGAGACAACACTTTTCTTTTTGCGATTCATGAACAATTCCTTGTTGATCAATAAACCATGCAGTTCATCCAGAGTGGTTGATGAAATTCTCAGCATAATAGAGTCAATAAAAGATTCATATTCATCAAATAAACCATTGAGAATGACATCAATAAGGTCATGATCAGAAACCGGATAACCAGCCGCCATTAAAACATCGGAAATACCTTTGATGCGTTGCAGATACTCAGAAATCGAAAGGTCACCTTTGTGTAAATAATGCAGACGAGATCGGAGTTGATGAATATGAGCAGCAGATACATCTCCAAATCTATTTTCAAGATTAAGCCGAATATCACGAGATGAAGTCACACCAACAGTAAACAGAATGTTCTTCAAAAGAGTAGAGTTAAGCCAAATAAGGAAATTCTGATCCTTCTTATACCAAGCTTCATAGGCAGGGTTAGGAATTCCAGTAGTGCGACCGGTTTGATCAAGAAGATAAGGCGGTGGACAGAACTCGGAACCATCAACGATGCCAGTGAGCTTGTAGCGTCTGGAAATTGAAGCAAAGAGAGCCTTCCAAACTAAGTAATTGTCACGCTATAGCTTCATAGGCCCCACACAACTAAAATTTTGGATTGCGATCGATGAGATCGACGAACTGGAAGAATTAAGGTTCATCGTAGAGAAATTGGGGGCGACGAACTTGGCCGGAAAACGTTCTAACAAATCAGCTGTGTTCCGTCCAAACCACAAAGAGTTAGCCGTCGAAAAAGGTACCATTCTCTTCGTCTCGTTGAGAAGTGTGATTTTTATTTTTGAATCACTTGATTTCGTTGAGTATTGAAGAAGTTATGAACGTTTAAAATTTACCCAGTTTCTGGCGAGTTTTCAAATTTTCATTCGGACTTGTCAACTTGAGGCTATTTTCCGGCCATCTTTGGCAACCAATGGACTTTGAAATATGTATAATCTTATTCTACACTTTCCTATCTTCATTTTGATATATTATGGGTTGAATTTGGTTGAGAAATGATTGAGTTACGAAGTTTTGAAAATTGCGCAAACTTCCAGCCAAGAGCTTCGGGAGTTTTAACAGAGTTTTTAACGGAATGACCAAAATGATGGATGGTGGACAATCTCAAGACCAATTTTATCGATTTAGAATCTCAGGAACCAAAGTGATGAGTTATGCAAAACTCAGGGATCATTTTGACGATTTACCCTATTTAAAATTAAACACAAACAGTATCTGACAAAAATTGACCGCACGATGTACGATGAACGAACACAATTTACGAATTCCTGGAATCCTCCCAAAGAGGATCCGGCGAGGATTCCTAGAATTATAAGACAAAATAACCATGTAACACGTTTAGCATATTCTCAACAGTGGCCGTAGAGAACAGTACTCAATTAAATCGTACCCTGTGACTGTATGTCATGCATGCTCTTAGTACACTAACTGGTCTCCCTCTGTTTTCAGCAAAGAAACATAGAATAACTTACATGAAATAGGTTCACCGCCATCTTGACATCCCAATCTATTTATGTTGTATCTGTGCAGATGAATTTACGCATGGCAGTGTATTATTCTCCACGTAAGTCGTCGAAAGAACGAATAACAAAAATCAAGCACGACCAAATAATAATCATGGCATTGTATAATCCTCCATGTTTTCTTCGAACTATACAATACGACTACACTCAGAATTACAAGGCCTAAAGACCTTTTGTTCAGTATACAACTCAATACAACCAAGAACTGATCCCAACAGGGGAAGGCACTAACCTTGTGAAAAAAGAAAGCTCTTCATTCCTCAAGAACAAAAACTCGAAACAAAAACAAAAATCGAAATGTCGAAGGGATTATCTAAAACATAAGAATGTGAATGATTAATCGAACTATCGAAGTATTAGAATTCTGTGGTTTTCAATGCAATAAAAACTAATACCGAACAATGTCCTGAAGGCAATCGAAAAAGTGAGTGATGTTTATCTTCTCTTTTCCGGAGTAGATAGCCTCGGCAGAGCCTCCTTGGTCACCCTGGGCTGCCATCTCAATTAACATGTAGAGCTTCTTGATGGGCATCTAGAGAGTGACATAGATGAAAGTTGGATATTAACAGCGGAAAACTAAAAAAAAAAAATGAAGGGATGAAGAAAATTAAGGATGTCAAAGTTTACATCATTCAGTGCCTCTGCAGCCGCATCGATGTCTTCGTCAGCAAAAACATTCAACTGGGCTAGCACCTACAATTAGAAAAATGCCAGGAAATTAGGATATAGGTACGAAGTTCAAAGTTTATCAGTTTACAACATATTTGCTCTAACATCGTGATAGACATTCACTGAATCATATTTGGAAGGCGAGGACATTCACTTACCAACAACGTTAAAACAAAAAAAGCTGAAAATGTAAAGCCGAAAAAATAACCAAAATGGAAACAAAGGTATCGTTACCTTCTTTGCATCCTCCGTCTTTAGTGTGGGTACATTGTAAGTGACAGAAAAGGTATCACAAAAGCCGATTGAATCTAAGAAGCCCAATTCACTTGTTGTTCCAAATACCAGAAGTTTTTTCCCCTGAAGAGGAGAGAGGTTAAAAACAAATATTATGGGCATCCAAACTCCATAATCTTCAGAGATGCAAAAAAAATGTAATCACGTTCCAAAAAGTATGGCATTGTATAGACTCAGCTAACAGATATCCTAACAGGTGTCTTTAATATTCAATGAAGTCGAGGATAAATGACGAACCTTAGGAGGGAGGCGCTTAAGTAGGACCAACAATGTTTGAGATATTAAATTGGAAAACCTTGGACCAATAGCAACATACTCCAGTAACCTGCAAAGCAAATTAAAAAGACCAATTTATTCAAGATAAATGGTTGTTAAAGATTTTCGGAGACGAGCGAGTCACAAAAGTCAATTAAACTTAAAGCAGCAGTAATTACCTTTCAATGTCATCTAGGATAATGATGCTCAATGGTGACTTGTATGCATCCTCGAAAACCTATTCAGGAAATAACAGAAATTGAAACGAAAACAAAAGACATTCATCCATATGCGTGTGTATACACAAAAGGATTTTCAGTTAACAAACAGATCATCCCAGAATCCTGAATAATTTACAATAGTTGGGAAGTTGAATATTTGAGACATGAAAGTGACATCTCTATAAGCGAGCAAGAAGACAATACAAACCTTTACAATTTGTGCGCATTTGGTGCTCTCATGAAGACCAATCATTGTCTCAGCCGAGACCTATCCAATTAAAAATTCAAAAAAAAATTGTAACAGGAATAAAAAGAATATTGATTATTTGAAGACTGCAAATTCTTGAAAAGCATATTAATATGTAAAGTGAAACAAATAATCAGGGAGCTTACAATCTTGACGTAGGGAAAATCACTGTCGATCCCAACAGTAGCCGCTAATGCAGATTTACCACTGTCCAAGATGGGTAAAGTTCAGAATGCTCAAAGTAAACAAAAAGCAAATGAAAATAGGATAAAAATGCACACAACCATGCATACCTGCCACTCGGGCCTTCC